TCCATGTTGTTTCTGAAATAGTGCTCAATTTACTTTCAAACATTCCAAGTACTTTCCTTAGTCGTCCTGACCTTAGTCGTCCTGACAATGTGTATTTTTCTACAGTCAGAGGTTCAATTAGTCCCTACCACTGCTAGACACAGAGTTTGTCCCTAACTAGCTCTTTCCAAGCTCAGAATTATTATTCAATATTCCTATTTTGTCAGATAACAAGTTTTCTCCATCTTTCCAAAGACATGTAGTTTTCCTGACTCTGTCAGACATTGTTTTTCCCTGCCAGACATTGTTTTTCCCTGCAGTCAGCAGACCTTGAGCATAATTGTCCCTATTTTTGTAAGACATCAAAATCTCTCTTTCATCAAGTTTTTCCCAACCTCTTTGTCAGACATCGACTTTCTTTGTCAGACTTTTAGCTGTAATACCCATTTTCTATCAAACATGAAGTTTGTCCCTGTTTCTGTCAGGCACAGTTTCTCCATACGGTTGCCCCTACCTTGAGTTAATGCCCCTGCATATGTCTTTCAAAGATTGAGTTTGCCCCTACCTTGTCAGACCATGAGTTGTAATGCCCCCGTGTCTTTCAAACATTGAGTTTACCCATACCTTGTCAGACCATGAGTTGTAATGCCCCTGTGTCTTTCAAACATTGAGTTTGCCCCTACCTTGTCACACCTTAAGTTGTAATGCCCCTGTGTCTTTCAAACATTGAGTTTACCCTTACCTTGTCAGACCATGAGTTGTAATGCCCCTGTGTCTTTCAAACATTGAGTTTACCCTTACCTTGTCAGACCATGAGTTGAAATGCCCCTGTGTCTTTCAAACATTGAGTTTGCCCCTACCTTGTCAGAACTTAAGTTGTAATGCCCCTGTGTCTTTCAAACATTGTCATGCACTGTGTTTGTCCCTGACTTTGTCATACAAAGAAGTCCCCCCTAAAACTATCATGCAATTGTGTATGTTGAAATTTTTCCTAACTTTGCCACATTGGGTTTTTGTATGACCCTTAATTTAATTACTATGACATTCACCAGTAATAAGTGTAACATATGTCTGAACAAACAAACTGTCAAGGACAGGTTATACAGGTTCAAGTCTCCATTATAAAAGAACAATGCACTTTCTTGTGACTACTGGTGATCTGTCAATCATTACTATCAGTCATACCTATGCTATTTATCCCATTGACTCTGAAAATCATTTTCTCACAAAACACAATTTATTATCTACTTTCCCTCAACATAAATACATTTTTACATGCAAAAGTATTGAGTAAATTCAGGTTCCAATAAAGTGAAGCCAAGCATTTATTTATTTATCTCCTTCAGAATTGTATGACTTTCATGGGAAATAATGATTGAAAAAAAAATCAACTTTTAAAGTCTGATGCAGGAAACATGGAAAAATATAGACACTTTTTTAACGATTTTTTTTGTATTTTTTTTTACTTCTGCCTCACTTAGATGTACATCGAATATTTCCATTTGAAAAAAATTGTATATCATTACGTTGATAACATACAGAAAAGCAATAATTTCTGGATGGTATCAAGATAGGACTGACCGGGACTGTTGCCTTGTCTGTGTCCCTCAGTCTAATGAAGACATATGCTAGCTTGTAATCCAATAATGATGTAACTCGATATGAAAATTCCAGCACCATACTTCCCTCCAGTTGTCCGCTAGCAATTTATAAAATTCTCCATATATCCTGTGTTGCAGGTGTTTGACTTTTTCGTTTAAAAACACATTTCAGATTTACCATGGATTGACTGAGACATTTCTCTTATATTACTCTTTGTGGAGTTGACCCCTGGTCAGAATTTGACAGATATTTCAGAAGTTATAGCTAGTTTTATACAATGAAAAATATAAAACATGTACATAGTCACAGTTTAAACATGAATACAGGACCATCTTCATCCAAAAATTGTCTACTGTATAGCGGTTACATATCGCGGGAGGTTATAATTTTCCCTATATTCAAGCTTTGACTAATATCTGTGAATGCTAAACATCAGGGAAATTATCAAAAATGTTAACCACTTTTACGGACCTTATCACAACATGTTGAAAATACTTATAACCCAACGCTGTTATGTAAGCTTAAATGAACTCAAATAAGATTATCACCACTCCTACAAAGGTACATACACATTTGATTTTCTTTTGAGTGAAGTCACTAGCGGATGACAACAATCGGGATCAGTGTTTTCAAACGGTTTACTTGTAATTTGAGATTTAACCCTTAAATGATGACACTCAAGTACGTTGCATGACACATGGGATTTGGGTGCACAGCAAAATGTAACCCCCGCGAATATGTACTGAATACGAAACTGCAAATTATTGACCCCGCAAATTTAAACCGCAATACAGTACTAAGTGATATTGTATGGAACTTCTATTAAAGGGACAGTTTTGGGATTATTATTTTTTTATAATCTTGTCACAAATTTCTTTATGATTGTGTAATGATGATAGGTTTCCATGTCAGTAGACCTTATATGTGTATATATATATACATCTTCACATAATGGGTCGGGTATCTCATTTAAGATTTAAAGCCCTTTTTATGTATCAATATTGTCTATCCACATGACGAGGAAATGCAGTCATATGGCCGAGTGAAACGTCCACTGGGTTTTAGCTGGCCATACTACTTCCGCCTCAAGCATTTATCATTAACTCCTAAGTACCATTTTCCTATAGACACCATTTACTGGGGATTTTCCTGAGTTGTGCACCAGTTTGATAAAACTAAAGGTATGAATTACTATATCAGAGAACCTTTTGTCATTTAGCATTTCTTAACTGATTTGTGACTCTTGAAATAAATAATTCATTCATTCAATAGAATGTAATGTAGTCAAAAATATTGATAAAATATGAAGAATTTTACATAAAAGTGATCCATGATAAAAATGGCTTTGGAGAGTTACCACAAAATGATATGCATTACAGGAAGTGTTAAAAGGCAACAACAGATTCAGCCAACTAAAACTGACCAACTCTTACATTATAAACCCTATACAAACAGAAATAAGAACTGTTTGCATAAACTTAGCTGTACATATCAACCAGGACTGAGAATCTAGACAGACATTCATGTGACTCTTATCATCAGTGGTGTCGTTATCTTAAACAGTTCAGAACGTTTACGCTTTTGTATTGGTGAAAATATTAAGGTAAATGGAGTATTCATTAAAATACGTGTTTTACATAATGAGAAAATCCCCAGGGATTTTGAAACAATAACTTGAATACTGACAAAATCTTTTTGAATTTTCTCCTTTCCTGATTTGAAATTTTCGGAATTTAAAAAACACTTGGAACTTATTTCATTGGCCAATCTTATGATGTCACTTAGTGACAATGGTTTTCAACCTCATCTTCCATTGTGATGTCATTGATTATAGCAATTGTTTCTCTGAAAGAAAACAGGAATATCGTATTCCCAAGAGAAACACACAGTTTTCTGGATATAATACCTGTCTAGATATAATACCTGTCTGTCTATAGATATAATACCTGTCTAGATATAACACCTGTCTAGATATAATACCTGTCTAGATATAATACCTGAACATTTTGGGAGAAAACCATCCCTAAACTCATGATAGTAAGTTGATTATCATGTTTATCAAACTCTAATTAAAATTAATTCAATAACTTACTCATGTTACATAAACACGATAACCAACCACCACTCGTTGTGGAACCTCTGTGTCTCTGCTCTGATGGGAAAAATAATTCAAACCTAAGGTCTATTGTTTGAGGAACAATGTGTTCTGAATAACAAAATCAACCCTTGTCATTTACCTGCACCTGGCGCCAGAATATTAGGTGAAATGCGTACAGCAAGTTGTGAATAGATTATCAGACAACATTACATAACTATAATGATACCTGTCATACAGTTTCATTTCAATCCAGGTATTTATTTTGCGGAAGACCATTCAGAGTACTAGTGCTACCATGCACCTGGTTCTCATTAGCTGAACATTTTGTACAAAAGTTTTATTCAGGAGAAAACATTGAATTCCTACCCTGTAATACGGTTTGATACTATTTTCTCACAACATAACAAACTAGATTTACCTTGAAGCACTGGCTTCACGGAAACCCCTGCACCCAACATATCTGTTTCTATATGGTATTGTTGATGTGATGATAGATTGATTACACATTATATTAGATCTAAACTAACATATTTATTCAACATTTCCTACAAACGGAATATTTCCAAAGTTATAAACTTCCTGAAAGCTATGTTATGCTGCATTTAAAATATTTGGTACTTGAGACCAAGGTCAAATACTTGCTCAATGACCTTATAAACCTCATTACATTCCATGACACACCACCTGACAATGATGTACCTCCACATCAAGTTGAAGTCATATTGATTTCACAATTTTATTACGAGACATATTGCTTGACCATTAAGTACCTTTACAGTAAGTCTGAAGTCCATAATGAAACAGAAGCCAAGGTATGATATAGAAATCTGGGTAACACTTTATTCTAGTACTTGGGGTCCAGGTCAAATGTCAAAAAGAAGTCAATGTGACCTCATTTTAGTACACGACACACCAAATTCCTGTGCCTATGTGCAAAGTGCTTACGAAACATGTATTACATGTTTTAGTAATTGAGGTCAATGTCAAAGGTCAAATAGAGATGGCACACCTTCCTTTACACATCAGTGAGCCCACTCGATCCAAGGATGCTCCAGATTGAATCTGGTAGAAATGCTTTAATCCATACAGAAGGAGGAAGGAGAAAGTTTTTAACATTTACCTCACCTAAATAGGCCACACCTTTCTGCCCCAGGGGTGGGGGGGGGGGGAACAGCAACAACCTCCTTTTATACGACATTGAGTCCAATTGTCTAAAGAACAAACAGTACAGGTCAGATCTGGATAACTTCTCCAAGCCTATCACCTGAATTGGACATTCATAGAATCTTAGAAACTCTTGCCTTATTTGTATTGTACTCACCTGGTGTGTCAAACTCGGGCATGATCCGGATCCCACGCATCCTACCATACTCAATTATCTCATCCAGGTCTTCATGAGTGTAGACAAAAGTAGGATGGTACGCTCCCTGAAAAATTGGAGAGAAACAGTTTAGTGTTACTTTATTTCTCCTACCACATGGTCATTGACCCAAGTGACAGCCAATTAATCATCTGTTACAATATTCAATAGGAAGGTGGGAAAGAAAAGTTACACGTTTAACTAACAACAAAATCATCTTCTGTTAATTGCAATGACAACTTTGACACAAGAGAGAGAAAAGTGTATATTTTAACGATGTCAAATTTGTATGATTTCTCTCACCTGGCTCCAGTTTTACAAACGTTCGGGAATAAATTATTTAAGTTCATGAAACTCAAATAATGCTTTTAAATGGACAAAATTTTGTTTATGTATAATTATATGCTTTTCAAGCAGATGCCTTCCATAAGTCCCCACTGATCGTTAAAAAAATATCCAATTAAGCACTACATATTCCATCATTACAAGTTTTCGACATATTTAATTAATTATCAAAATTTTGTTTCTTTGTTTTTTAGTTTTGTTTTTCAAATAATTGCAATTTCCAGCTAGGAGATGCTTTTTATTATGCCATTGTTAAAAGCACAATTCTATAATATACGGGAGTGGGATATCCAACGTCTGTGCAAAGAGTTCTGCAAAGGTCTGTGTTACCGTGCAGACAGATTCCACAAGGAATACACGCGTTCGGCCATACTAATTTGTTTTTATTGAGTAAATAAATGGTTAATTTGTCATCATTTTAAACATTCTGTGTCGGCTTGAAACATCAATGAAAGCAGTATCTACTACAGATACAAGAAATGAAAAACAAATCATTACAGAATGACAGACCCAGAGCTACATAGGTAAACATTACAGAATGACAGACCAGAGCTACATAGGTAAACATTACAGAATGGCAGACCCAGAGCTACATAGGTAAACATTAAAGAATGACAGACACAGAGCTACATAGGTAAACATTACAGAATGGCAGACCCAGAGCTACATAGGTAAACATTACAAAATGACAGACCCAGAGCTACATAGGTAAACAATACAGAATGACAGACCCAGAGCTACATAGGGAAACATTACAGAATGACAGACCCATAGCTACATAGGTAAACATTACAGAATGACATACCCAGAGCTACATAGGTAAACATTACAGACTGACAGACCCAGAGCTACATAGGTAAACATAACAGAATGACAGACCCAGAGCTACATAGGAAAACATAACAGAATGACAGACCCAGAGCTACATAGGTAATCATCACAGAATGACAGACCCAGAGCTACATAGGAAATCATTACAGAATGACAGACCCAGAGCGACATAGGTAAACATTACAGAATGACAGACCAGAGCTACATAGGTAAACATTACAGAATGAAAGACCCAGAGCTACATAGGTAAACATTACAAAATGACAGACCCAGAGCTACATAGGTAATCATCACAGAATGACAGACCCAGAGCTACATAGGTAGTCATTACAGAATGACAGACCCAGAGCTACATATGTAATCATTACAGGATGACAGACCCAGAGCTACATAGGAAAACATAACAGAATGACAGACCCAGAGCTACATAGGTAGTCATTACAGAATGACAGACCCAGAGCTACAAAGGTAAGCATTACAGAATGACAGACCCAGAGCTACAAAGGTAAGCATTACAGAATGACAGACCCAGAGCTACAAAGGTAAGCATTACAGAATGACAGACCCAGAGCTACATATGTAATCATTACAGGATGACAGACCCAGAGCTACATAGGTAAACGTTACAGGATGACAGACCCAGAGCTACATAGGAAAACATAACAGAATGACAGACCCAGAGCTACATAGGAAAACATAACAGAATGACAGACCCAGAGCTACATAGGGAAACATTACAGAATGACAGACCCATAGCTACATAGGTAAACATTACAGAATGACAGCCCCAGAGCTACATAGGTAAACATTACAGAATGAAAGACCCAGAGCTACATAGGTAAACATTACGGAATGACAGACCCAGAGCTACATAGGTAAACATCACAGAATGACAGACCCACAGCTACATAGGTAAACATTACAGAATGACAGACACAGAGCTACATAGGTAAACATTACAGAATGACAGACCAGAGCTACATAGGTAAACATTACAGAATGACAGACCCAGAGCTACATATGTAAACAATCTACCAGCCGACTGTGAAACGTTGCCGTAGAACTAGTACTGATTTCAATTACCCGAGTCAGTTGATGTAAGGTTTAAGCACGGATGAGTAAATAGCTATTGATTAGGCTTTAGAAGCAAGTCTGAAGGTCAAAAATCCTGTCAAGGTCAATCGGGAGTCTAAATTGATCACTCTGACGCGACTTGGACATGACCAAACATCCACGGCATTAATTGTACTTGTGAATCTCTGGTTGCCTGCCCATTAGAGTCCCTCTGTGGTCTTATTACACAATGGAGATGGATCCAACATCAGCGATAATTGTTGCTGTTTTACATTCATATATGCGGGCGAGTACGATAATTGAATGGAATCTATCACTTTTGTACACAGAAACACCAAGTACACGATGCATTGTTTGACAGCACAACTCCACAAAATATTTTGATAAACGAGCCCATACCACCTACAATTATAGCATCATATTGTAGTTTATATAAATGTCTCCTCTTACATACACAGCATCCTCCGGAAATCTATCATTTACTATAGCAACAGGAGTAATATGGCTTTTATGGTACACAGACTTCGATGTTACAGCAAACACAGAGACTGGACTAAGTTGGAGAGCTTGATTTTCCTTTTATATATATACAACACTTCTAGTAAAGAGTTTAGCATGGATATTTAAAATCAATTGAAAAACATCTTGTTTGTTTACAGGAGTTTTCTTTTGACATGACTTTTATGAAAGGCGTTTTATGAATTCTTCATTAAAGTGAGCCTCTGCCGAGCTAAAACAAAAAAATTGTTAGGATTTCATCACTGAAATAATATTTCTGGAAAAAAAATCGACATTTTTCCAAGTCAGTCCTGTAGTCTGTAATATTCAGAAATCTTGGCTCTACATCAATTTTTTCCCATTTTGATGTCAAAATATAATCCGGAAATCTGTGATTATCTTATTGATTATTATTTTATGATGTCACAGTGGGTCTTATTACCTATATTAACACGCAAAAAATGTGTCGTGGATGTATTCGCTGAATATCATGACAATCATGGGATAAACCAAATTATACTTGTCAATTATACCAGCCTTATTTTGTAACTATAACACTTGTGTTTCTGACTACAGAACTTTAACACATAAAACAACTTTACCACTGCTGGGTAACACAGTACTTGGCTGAGCTCCTAGCATGGACGTTGGATCTCCCACCCCCCAAATGTTACCACTGTGTTTTTGTCATTGCTCTTTATATATCCTGAATCACATACACTTCTAACATGACTTCTGTCAAATTCAGAACTTTTTTAACTGACTTTTTTTAGAGTTTAAAGTCTCTTCTTTTTGTAGAATTTTAAAGACCAGTGCTGGCTATGTGGTGTAATTGCCTTCACCAATGCATAGCGATGTCATGTCAGACAAGGGAAAGGGATGGGATACATTAATACATAATGGAAAAACATCGGCTACCATTCGCAAGAACTTTTTATCATTTATCAGCACATGAATGCAGGTCAATAAGACGACATGAAGAAAATCCATCTGTTATAATCCAAGTTAATGGTTGAGTCACTCTTTGTAAGTTCCCTGAAATTTCCCTAAGTGTATGTTCGTATTAAAATTTGCCTGGACTATTAATATTGACTCAACTCACTGTTTCTTTTGTAATTATAATGAAAACTAATGGATACTGTCCCAATCAGAAAAATTTCAAATCAAAAGTTCCAGAATTGCAGTAAAGAACCATTTAGAGCCTAACTCAGCCCTATTGTCAATCTATACTACTGACATTTTGCTATGGATCACCTATATTTTGAAAAAATTAAATCAAAATGTCAGAAAGGATATTATGTTTTTCTTCCGTACTGTTTAGGGTGAATATGTTAGCCTTCCAGATCATCCTGTGTGGGTGTGTTCAGTAAACCATAAAAGCGTGTGCACGTTTTTCCATGTGTACACCCATTTCAAAAGCTAAGCTAGGGTAAGTAAGGCGTTGTTCAAATTGTTAAGGAAATCAATTTGATTCTTTGTGTGTTTTTGTTTTAATATGGCACAAAGACAAACTAGAAAACGGTTAAATGACGGTGAAATGAATAGGGGCATCGGAATGCTGCAAGCTAGCATGTCTCAACGTCAGGTTGCAGCAGCTAGACCTTGGGGTGTCTCAAAGTGTGGTGGCAAGATCTGGAATTGTTTTCAAACTAACGGAAACCCTTCCAGACGTCATGCTGGAGGTCATTTTAGGGCTACAACACAGCGCCAAGACTGACTTTTGCTCATACAGGCACAGCGTCACAGGTTCCAGACTGCCACAGCTTTAAGGATTGACCTCCTAAATGCTTCTGGTACCCGGGTAGCCACTCAGACAGTTAGGAACCGTCCTCATGATGCTGGTTTAAGGTCATGTAGACCAGCAATTTGAGTTCCCTTAACTGCCTGCCATATTAGGGACCGATTGGATTGGGCCCAAGTTCACAGCACTTGGACTCTTCAGGAATGGGAACCGGTTCTATTTACTGCCATGAAATCTTTGATGCCTACATCAGACCCTACCCTGGGGCTATCGGCCCTGTCTTCATCCTTATGGACGATAATGCTAGGCCACATATATATAGAGCAAGGGTGACTGAGCAGTATCTACAGCAAGAGACTATTCAACAAATGGATTGTCCAGCCCGCTCCCTGGATCTAAATCCCATCGAGCATGTGTGGGACATGCTGCAGACAGCTCTGTCTGCCAGAAATGTTCAGCCAAGAACGCTCTAGGACCTGGGAACACCTTTGGTAGCTCAGAGTGAAACGCTATCACACAAAACCGGATACGCAATCTCATTTGGGGCATGCGCAGACGTTGTGAAGCTGTAATTGATGCTCATGGGCATCACACTCGATACTAAAACAGTTTCTGTTTATTTAGGATGAGTTTTGTTCAATTCAAGTTTTTTAGTGAACACCTCATTGTTACCAATTTCAAGGGTAACCCTTTTCCTGTGGCTACGATTTTTGGAATTTTTGCATGCTGTTGAATTGAAAGAACAATCAACTTTTCAAAAATAATCTCGGTATAAACCAAATGAAATATTTTTATTTTCACATTTGCCCAAAAATAAAAGCGATCCTTAGCAAAATGTGATTAGTATATATTGTGGTCATTTTAGTGAATAGACAGATTTATCACTATTGCCAGTTCAGGTCTGCCTGACCACTTTAGTCAGTTGAGGTTATGGTCAGTCCAGTACGTACCTTGTCGCTGAGGTCGGGGTAGACTTTGCTCTGATATGGGAAGGACTGGTCATCGACGATGTGCCAATGTAATACATTCATCTTGTTTTGTGACATAGCCTCCTGAAAACATCAAAATACATATATTATATTACTGTTGTTCTGTGTCATAGAATTATATTAACCCTCCTGAAAACATCAAAATACATATATTATATTACTGTTGTTCTGTGTCATACCCTCCTGAAAACATCAAAATACATATATTATATTACTATTGTTCTGGTAGAGGTCGCAGTGCGAATGCAATGGTTAGCGGTGGCGCTTGCACAGCGATCGTATGGCGTTCTCTGAGATGAGGCTGCGTCTCTACCGCGCTTATACGGCGCTGTGACAACTCGATGCACGCAGTGGAAGCACCGTGAGAGTGCCATGAGAGCGCAGACAATCGCCAACTATTAACTCTGTAGGAACCCGGTGGAACACCATGGAGCGCCGTAGAAACGCGATGGTCGCTGTGAGAACACCGTGACATCGACATCCTCATGAAAAATGTCAATTTTTCCTGCGATCTCACAGCGCTCTGGGAAATTTAACAATGCTGTGCAATCGCAGTGGCAACGCGGCTAGGTGTGACAGGGCTTTAAGAATGGGTGATATATCAACTTATATGGTTAGAATGGGTGATATATCCACTGATATGGTTAGTAATTGATGCTCATGGGCATCACACTCGAATGTAAGTATGGGTGATACATCAACTGATATGGTTAGAATGGGTGATATATCAACTTATATTGTTCGAATGAGTGATATATCAACTGATATGGTTAGAATGGGTGATATATCAACTTATATGGTTCGAATGAGTGATATATCAACTGATATGGTTAGAATGGGTGATATATCAACTGATATGGTTAGATTGGTTAATATATCGACTGATATGGTTAGATTGGGTGATATATCAACTGATATGGTACATTTAAGTAAGCGTGATAGATCAACTGCTATGGTTAGAATGGGTGATATATCAACTGATATAGTTAGAATGGGTGATACTATATCAACTGATATGGTAAGAATGGGGGATACATCAACTGATATGGTTAGAATGGGCGATATATCAACTGATATGGTTAGAATGGGTGATATCTCAACTGATATGGTTAGAATGGGTGATACTTTATCAACTGATATGGTAAGAATGGGTGATACATCAACTAATATGGTTAGAATGGGTGATATATCAACTGATATTGTTAGAATGGGTGATATAATTACTGGTATGGTTAGAATGGGTGATATCAACTGATATGGTTAGAATGGGTAATATATCAACTGATATGGTACATGTAAGTATGGGTGATGCATCAACTGATATGGTTAGAATGGGTGATCTATCAACTGATATGGTACATGTAAGTAAGCGTGATACATCAACTGATATGGTTAGCATGGGTGATATATCAACTGATATGGTTAGCATGGGTGATATATCAACTGATATGGTTAGATTGGGAGATACTTTATCAACTGATATGGTAGGAATGGGTGATACATCAACTGATATGGTTAGAAGGGGTGATACTTTAACAAATGATTTGGCAAGAATGGGTGATACATCAACTGATATGGTTAGTATGGGCGATATATCAACTGATATGGTTAGAATGGGTGATATCTCAACTGATATGGTTAGATTGGGTGATATATCAACTGATATGGTTAGATTGGTTAATATATCGACTGATATGGTTAGATTGGGTGATATATCAACTGATATGGTACATTTAAGTAAGCGTGATAGATCAACTGCTATGGTTAGAATGGGTGATATATCAACTGATATTGTTAGAATGGGTGATATATCAACTGATATTGTTAGAATGGGTGATATATCAACTGATATTGTTAGAATGGGTGATATATCAACTGATATTGTTAGAATGGGTGATATATCAACTGATATAGTTAGAATGGGTGATACTATATCAACTGATATGGTTAGAATGGGTAATATATCAACTGATATGGTACATGTAAGTGTGGGTGATACATCAACTGATATGGTTAGAAGGGGTGATATATCAACTGATATGGTTAGAATTGGTGATATATCAACTTACATGGTTAGAATGAATGATATATCAACTGATATGGTTAGAATGGATGATACTTTATCAACTGATATGGTAAGAATGGGTGATATATCAACTGATATGGTCAGAATGGGTGATATATCAACTGATATGGTTATAATGGGTGATACTTTATCAACTGATATGGTAAGAATGGGTGATACATCAACTAATATGGTTAGAATGGGTGATATATCAACTTATATGGTTAGAATGGGTGATATATCCACTGATATGGTTAGATTGGGTGATATATCAACTGATATGGTTAGATTGGTTAATATATCGACTGATATGGTTAGATTGGGTGATATATCAACTGATATGGTACATTTAAGTAAGCGTGATAGATCAACTGCTATGGTTAGAATGGGTGATATATCAACTGATATTGTTAGAATGGGTGATATAATTACTGATATGGTTAGAATAGGTGATATCAACTGATATGGTTAGAATGGGTAATATATCAACTGATATGGTACATGTAAGTATGGGTAATACATCAACTGATATGGTTAGAATGGGTGATCTATCAACTGATATGGTACATGTAAGTAAGGGTGATACATCAACTGATATGGTTAGAATTGGTGATATATCAACTTATATGGTTCGAATGAGTGATATATCACCTGATATGGTTAGAATGGGTGATATATCAACAGATATGGTTAGAATGGGTGATACTATATCAACTGATATGGTTAGAATGGGTAATATATCAACTGATATGGTACATGTAAGTATGGGTGATCCAACAACTGATATGGTTAGAATGGGTGATATATCAACTGATATGGTCAGAATGGGTGATATATCAACTGATATGGTTAGTATGGTTGATATATCAACTGATATGGTTAGAATTTTAAGAACTGGACCTTAACATACACTAGCAGTGAGTGAGGTAGCAAATGAAACAAGGATAATGACATCATGGTTTTATGATACTGACAGTCACTTCTTGTTTAATGTTGAAGATTCACTCTCAGGAAGGTCATCTTCTAGAATCCAATTTCTGAGCACTCAGCACTTTCTACAACAAAGCCTTGGTCTATCAGAATTTTTAACAGAATCACAAATAAAGATTACCCCCACAATTATATTACAGTCATAACTGTATACAAATGGGATTTCCCTGCACCAGGTTTAATTCATCAGGATTTTCAATTTGACAAAAATGGAGATAGTTGTTTTAAAAAAGCTTGGGTCTTCACACTAGAGATTCACTGCCAGTGATAAAGCAGAAAGCCGACTGATACAGATTTTATAGTGTCGTCTTAGTGAAATTAGCCACCCAACAGAACGTGTTTTTTCTATTCAAAACAATCTGAAACCAATGTTATTTTTGTTTACATCCTACATGTGAAAATTTCAAAAAACTTCAAAACCTTTTAGCGTGCTGACATGCAAAATCCTGATTTGTTCTTCATTATGTCTTATCACACAAGATTTTTTTTCAGCATGTCCTTTTCAGGAAAACTGAATAAGATCAACCTCATTCTGGTCTGTCTATGCTGCTTTAATTAAATCAAATCAAGTCTTGAAAATACTTAGGAATCTGCAGTAATTGTATCTTGCATAATCAGTATCAATACTTCATAAAAAATAAATAAAAAAAAGTACCTTATAGGACAGTTGGTAGAGGATCAACCTTTTAAATATAAACTTTTTTACAAAAAATTATGAAACAAGTTATTTCAACTTATATTAATCACTGATGCTGGATAGCGCATAGTGGGGTCTGAATGTGGGAGGAAATTGGAGTACCTGAGAAAACCCTCGGGGTCAGGTAAGTGACCACATACTTTTAACTTCTGATTTGGGAATTGAACGCCGTCCACCTTGGTGAAAGGCAATAAGTGCATTATCCACTGCGCTATCCCAATTTCCATTTTAGGTTTGATCCCCAAAGGTTGCGGGATGTTAATGTGTCATTGAGCAAAACACTTAACCATTATTGGTCAACTCGACCTACCTAAAGCGGATGTTATATGATCTGGTTTGGGTATTTGGTGACTTCTCCGTGGTATTTAAGTGATGCTGTACTAAAAATGGGCTGTTGGTAATACAGACACATAACAAGCCTTAAACTTCTAAGAAAAACAAAGTATCCAGATACCTTCTGATTGGGGATACAGATATGATACGACACCGGAAGCTAAAATGATTGTTTCTCGCCTAAGTCATCTCTTCTCCAGTTTAAATTCTCTTTGTTCACATTCTCCCTCGTGTTTTGTGTAACATTATTATTTATTTTCTGTCTTGTTTATGTGTAACATAAATATACACTTTCTCCATAATTTATGGGTTAGCGTAATATTATTGACAAATAAACCTATTTCTTCCATAAAAATCTTGTGATGGAGTTCATGTCTACTTTGTAATACATTCACCATATGGGACATTTAAATCCCCTGCAAACTCATGAAATATGGTTATTTTCCTATTTTTATGGCAGATCATGAAAAATGAAATTGATCTTGTTTTTAAAAGCTGTTGTAAAAAATTGACATGATGCATCTGTATATACCAGCATAGTGGGATTGAACTGAGACATTGACTACTATAATACTCTCCACGGCCATTAGGTATCACCGTTATAAGGCATCAAGATTAAATATTTTATATCAATATCTCCTATATGCACAGTGTAGACTTTCCCTATTCTGTTGCAGCATGCCTCAGCACCATGTATAGCATTGCCTTGTAGAATATCAGCCTGTTTGTCCAGACTGCACCACAGAACGAATGTGGCCAGGATATTGTCAATAACATTTAGTAGGGGCACATTTCAGAAATTTACAGCGACATTCAAGACTTCCCAGTTTAGAATGTTATGGCTTAGATTTGTGACAGAAAATAGCCAGTCACAAATTTCAGTGTACCTAGTGACAGGACACTGGAAGCCGGATCTTATTGACCAAATATAGCCCCTCCCATTATAGCACCATTGTATAGATATTCATAAACTAATCT